CTAGACTGGGAGGCCTTGCTCAAAGTCACTCGCACCTTAGTCACTTCTCAGTTGGATTACTATAATCTGCTGTACTTGGGGCTGCCCTTGAAGACCACTCAGAAGTTACAACTGGTCCAGCATGCAGCAGTGCACAGTTCTAGGTGCTTGCAAGTCACTTGTATTAACACTGCTGCTGTGTGAGCTGTATTGGCTTCCAGGTGCAATTCAAGGTGCTGGTTATCACCTTTAAAGCCCTACATGGCATAGGGCCAGGTTATTTGCAGGACTGCTTCTCCCTGAGACTATCTGCCCATCTTTACCAGGTCAGATAGGGTGGGCACACCCCAGATCCCTCCCTTTAAATATTGCCATCTGGTGGGACCTTGGGGACATTCCTTCTTGGTGGCTGTCCTGGCCCTTTGGGTCATGGAACATTATCGGTGGAAACCTTATGCTTGCTAGTTGCAATCCTGTTAATCGACAGCAGCTGTATGAAGAATGCTAGTCATGCCTGGATGAAAGTAAAAATTACTTTATTACATTATTAATAGGTAACAATAAGCTAGGCTATTTGCTGTGTTAACAGAAATGTAAGACACAGTACAGTTATATGTCCAAGAATCATAATGTGTATATAAAATGTAAAAAACTGACTCTGTTTGGAACTTATACATAACTGCCAATATTATGTCCTTCAAAAATATTGACCCTTCGCTGTTTTTTTGTTTCTGTTTTAATAGGGGAGGGTTTCAGCAATGTTTTTCTCATAAAGTATTTATTCTACATTGAACTGAACGTAGTGCGTTGAATTTACGTTGAATTGAAAGTGTGCTGCATCTAATATGACTGTTACTAGCAAAATTACCAGTGTTAGCAAGGGCAGGGAATATTTCAATAAAGAATAATGCAGAGACTTGAAAGTAGGAGAGGATCCTGGAAACTCCTGGTCACAGTGATTTGACCTCTGTCCCCAAGCGTAGCCCTTTGTTTTTATTTTTATTCCCAGGAGGGTGAGGGGTGAACATTTGCTTGCATGGGATAAAATAAACAACCACCAGCATGCTGGTTTCTGAACTAGAAAATCTAGACATTGCCTCTTCCTTGTCTCTCCCCTGCCCTAAAACTGGTTGTTGCCTTATAGAACCACCTGGTGGAGGTATTCAAAACAAATGCCAAGTCAGTGAAAGACTTTGAATGCTTGAGATAGATGGCTGTGTTTGCCTCTCCTTCCCCTCCTATAGGCATCCAAGACGACAGAGACATCCCGCCTGCAACAAGAACTCACCAAGGTAAGGAAGGGAGAGAGGTTTGGGCGGCTGGTCCCATTCTCGGGGGTGGGTGGGTGAGGACTACTGGTGGGAACTTACAGCTTTTTCTCTCTCATGCAGCTTGTGGAGAAGCTTAAGAAGAAGCAAGAGAGGTATGTTTTGGGGGTGGGGTGGGGAACTTGGCCATATTAGGATAAGGAATGGGATTTGCTTCTTATTAGCTGGCCAGCCTTCTACCTACTTCGGTTTGCTGTTCCTGTTGTAAGAGGAAGTTCCACGTGAAAGTTTGCTCTCATCTCAAGATGTTTGAATGGCCGCTCCATCCTCCATGGCGAGAGCATGTTCATAGTCTCTGCAAGGTGGCTTCTCTTTGGAAACCTAGCTTTAGCCGCTCTTCTGTTCTGTGTTTTAACTTCTCCCTGTCTTGCTTCTCTTCCTCTTCCTTTTAGCTTTGTGCGGCTACAGACGGAAAAAGAAGCTCTCTATAATGACAGCAGGTACGGGCTGAGCAATCTGGAATTTGCGCCAGTACACGATGTGCTTTTCAGAGAAGCCTGTTTGAGAAGCCCCGGGCAGTTGGGGTACAGCTTTCCAAAGGACATTTGAAACCGGGGCTTTTTGGGGGGGGGGGCGAAGAAGAAACAGGAGGAAGGGGAAGAGCTGAAATTCACTGCCAGTATTACAGTCCAGACCCCCAGAAAATCACTGCAGCATGAAAGCATTAAGGCAGTGTTGTCCAAACTTGGCCACTTTAAGATGAGTGGACTTCAACTCCCAGAATTCCCCAGCCAGCCAGGTGGTTGTTATGGCTGGGCGGGGGATTCTGGGAGGTGAAGTCCCCTCATCTTAAAGGGGGCAAAGTTTGACAACACCGCATTAAGGGGGTCCCCGTGGGA